AGCATCCACACAGTGCTTATCATGTGCACCACTGCTGTAAGTGCTTTGCAAATTTGTAAGAACATGATACAATGAAATGTTAATCCTCACAACTCTACTAGGACCATTTCTACTTCATGAATGAGGAAACAGAGGCACAGAGAGGTGATGTGAGTTACACAGTGCTGGACAGAGGCTGTCTTGTTTCTTGTACCACCACTCCTAAGCAGCAGGGGGAGTGGTGCAGTGGGGTGGAATTAACAATGGTTGCAACTTCAATTAAAAAATTCCTTGAGTTTCATCCTAGATTGATTTATTCACTTGATTCTTTAAAAGGTTGGTTTGACTTGAGTAAAAAAAAGTTGCCTACAGTGTACCTACACCATGGCTGGTATCGTGATTATTGTGTGGCCGTATTGAGAGAAGTTAAGAACATTATGTAATCAATCACTTCTTTTCATTTCTTGTCAAGATAATGATTATCTGCAATGGGTTGTTTTAGTTATGTTCACAAGAAAAATAGGTTGTGTGCCATCCTGATTCAGTCCTTTTGTTTATTTTCTTGTTGTTTGGGGGATGATCCCAGGGCCGCACACATGCAGTTGTGCCCCTAGTCTACTGTAATTCAGTTCTTGAAGACTGACAATAAACAGGCTTGTATAAAACAAGCTGATGGGACAATTGTCTTTGAGACTCTTGTTACAAATGGCCTTGATCTTAGTTGTAGGAGTTCTATGAAAACAATACTGGTAAGAAGCATATAAAATTTGCATTGCATTGTTTTTAACAAGCAAAGCACTTTCCCCAAATGCCCAATTCTTTAAACAGGACTTATATGTTTGCCTTGGTGTGCATAGCTGAGAAATTGCCTACCAAGTTCAGTACAGGAAAGTTATACAAATTGCTTTGCATTTAAAAAATTATTATTCTGGTACTCATAAATACTTTGTTTTATTGGCTATGACTTTCAAACACTTGTTATTATAGGTAAAAAAAGCATATAATAATTTTTGTGTAGGTGTGGTATTGGGGCTTGACCTCATGGCCTACACCTTGAGCCACTTCACCAATCCTTTTTTGTGATGGGGTTTTTTGAGATAGGATCTCTTGAACTATTTTCCCTGGCTGGCTTTGAACCTCGATCCTCCTGATCTCTGCCTCCTGAATAGTTAGGATCACAGGCGTGAGCCACTGGTGCCCAGCGTGGTGACTTTTTTTATGTAAACATTTGCCCAAACACATACAGTGAATACATGCCAGTCTTCACCTGAAATGTAACAGCCACTACCTAACCTCTTCAGTCAGTTCAGAAATTCTCAAATAACCAGAAACTTCACACTTTGAAATGACATTTGTAGGTAAATTATTGGCTATATTTTTCAGCCAGTGATAGAAAAACTGTTCTACCATAAAAATAGGGAAAAGTGAATAGATAGGAAGCCTTAGAGTTTATCAGTTTGTTTACTTCTCTGCTAATTTTATCCTTCTATTTAGAAATTAATTTCCATGAGTGGGTGAAACAAAGTTCAATTGTTTGAACTGAGTCATTAAGATATAGAGCTTTTGTTTAAAATAAGTATAATTTCCACTCCCAGAGGTGAGTTTGAAAACACATTTCCAGAAAATTTGTGACTTTACATGAAACGATATTTTGAGGAAAATCTGTGGTAGTCTTAAACGAAATTTCTTCCGAGTGAAAGACATATTTTGAAAACAGTCTAAGAATAGTCACTGCTAACTATGTACTATAATAAGTGACCTTATAGTGCTGGGGATGTAGTTTAGTGGTAGAACACTTGCCTAGCGTGTGTCAGCTTTGGGTTTAATCCCCAGCACTGCAAAACAACAACAACAACAAAATAACAACAACAAAATGTGACAAAAGGTGACATTACTTATCTGAAAGTGCATCTGGGTAATGGAGTCCAGAGAATGATTTTGTTTTTTTTTTGAGGTACTGGGGTTTGAACTCAGGGTCTACACTTTTAGCCACTCCACCAGCTCTTTTACGTGATTTTTTTTTTTTTCTTGAGGTAGGGTCTCATGAACTATTTGTCTGGGCTGGCTCTGCCTCCTCCTGAGTAGCTAGGATTACAGGCAGGGGACACTGATGATCTGAATCACCTCATTGCCTAAGAATTTTCACTTTCAAAAGTAAGAAGAAAATGACCAATGCTTACTAAATATTAATAACTGAAAACAGGAATCTCTACTTTGTTACTTGTGAATGTAGTAATATTATTTTCCATACTTGCAGTTGAATACATATTTTTGTTAGACATTTTAATTTGTCCCTTAAGAAAAACTACTATTTCATGAGTTACTGGTAAGCAAAAGCTGTCTTCAATTCATATTAATTATCTAACCACCAAAAAGTAACAAGAAAAATGCCAAAGCAAAGTTGATATTTTATAGATGGATCACAATTGAAATCAGTAATATACGTATAAAACACTACTTCAGGTGAGTTGCAGAAAGTGAGTATATTCTGGCAGGAAAACTGTAAACTGTTGTTGATCTTGTTTATGCAATTAAACTCAGGGAATGAACATTTTTGTAAAAGAGTTAGGACTTATACCTTAAACTTACTTTCATAACTATTAATTGTATTGCTTGGTCTTTTAATCATGTTACCTTAAAAATTAACTACTATCTTGAATGAAAGATTTTCAATCAAATTATTAAACTATTTAGTGTAGTTATTAGATTTGTATAGAATCCAGTAATTTTAAATGGAACTTGAAAGTGTTTAAATAAAAACAGTAAGCAAAAGCCATCCGCTCAGGTGTCACAAAGTAGCATGCAGAAATCTTTAGAAATCCACAGAAAGGACAGAGAGGTAAATCAGAAAGTTAAGTTAAAAATAAGGACCAAGAAAGAATTCTGAAAAGCAAGGGAATTCTGAAAAGGCTGTATAAAAATTGGTCAGAAGTTATAGCAATATAAATCTTAAACTGTTGTTAAAGTACTTAGCTGGCAGAATAAACCTATTTCATCTTCTTTCTTACAGCTCACGATCCTTTTTATTGGTTGTGAAGCAAAAGTAAAGCTTCAGGTCTTGGAAATGACACAAACTGAGTTAAGTTTCCTAAAAGTGTGACTTTTAGGAAGCCTAATCTGCTTCTACTAGACAGGATTTTCTTTGCCTGTTGCAAGTCAGATTAATCTGGGGACTGAATTGTCCTGCCTTCACTCTAGGGTGTTTGATGGATATTATCAGTGTATGTAAAGGATCTCAAGGTGACTTCTAGAGCAGCAATGTCCAACAGAACTTTCTGAGATGATAGAAGTGTTCCATACATTCTTTTTCCAATATGGTAGCCATTAGCCACCTATGGCTACTGAGCACTTGAAGTGTGGATTGTGTGACTGAGAAACTGAATTTTAAATTGTATTACATTTTAATTAATTTAAATTTAAATAGCTCTGACAACCAGTGATGGTTACCATATAGGATAGTGCATTTTTAGAACTCTCCATCCCCTGTCATCTTTTTTTTTTTTTTTGACAGTACTGGGGTTTGAACTCAGGGTCTCAAGCTTGCTAGGCAGGTTGTACTCTACCAATTGAGCCACATCTTAACCCTTCTCCAACAATCCCTTTAACTAAAGTCTTCAAACATCATTTCACTACAGATTCTGGATTTTCTGGGTTTCAATGTCACTCAAGGCTTCTAGGTTCCACAGGGGTAGGGTGACCTATAATTGAGTGTCCAAAGTGGGATCTTTGAGAAAGGCAGGGAATACTATTAACAATTAGATGAAAAAAGACATATAATCTGAGACCATCCAGGCCAGGCAGTAAGATTTGGTCTCCCTTCCTGTAGGGTTTATTGTTAGAATGTTCCTTTGGGAAGTATTTGAGTTTGACTTGACTTCTTTTTAGGTTGCTACAGAAAGTTTAAGCATCAATGGAATGCACATATTTTCACCATACCATGATTTCTTTGTCCCCACAAATATTTACCCAAATCTTTTAACTCATTTCTCCTTTCCTAGTGACTTCCAACCACTGAGTAAAGCCATGTCTGTCATGATGCTAAATAACCAACAAAAACAGAAGTCAATAATCAGGGGACTGATATTTGAGATTAGACCAAGTATCAGAATAATCAAATTGGTTTAGGTATTTTAAGCTTTCCTCTTGCTTTTTGGTAAAAGGCAAAAAGTGCCCAAAAGATCAGAGGTAGTTTTCTGTAGTATAGTCACTCAACATTCCCAGTGGGGTTAAACTGAGTTGGCAGAACAGGTAGCAGTTCACTTAGTCCACATCCTGGATTTTTTTTTTTTTGATAAGTGGGAGAGCATTGGGAACTCTCTTAGTTAGCTCTGCCATTAACAGAGGAGCTAGTAAGATCAATATTAACAGTTAATTTCAGAAGACAGGCTAGGTCATTGCAGAGTACTCTGAAGTTCTCATTTTCAGAACTTAATGTGCTTTAAAATAGCCTAGAAGGCATTGATTTGATATAAAATACAATGCAAAGATTGGAACATCAGGGCCTAAAATTAATTTTGAAAATCCAGTTGCACCAATAAATTGTCCTTAAAGCAAAAAATACATACAACTCAGCAATTCCCATGAAATCTCCCAGTATGGCCTGGCTTTTCAAATCTCACCACATTTTACAACATATTTGTGTTGAACACAGTAAAGTTTTGTATTAAGAAAGATAGTTCAATTTTTTGGGGGATGTGATACTGGGGTTTGAACTCAGGGCCTCACACTTGCTGGGCAAGTCCTCTACCACTTGCCCTGTTCCTCCCTGCCCTAAAATGCTTAAGTTTGTTTTTAGATAGTGTCTTGCACTTTTGCTTGGGTTGGTCTTAGACTGTGGTTCTCCTACTTATGTCTCCCACACAGCTAGGATTACAGGAGAATACTTAACAATTTATAGGAAGTAGAGGAATAGGGAAGTAGTTATTCCAGGAGATTTACCTGATGAAAAAACAACTTAACAACATATAACTCAAAGAATCAGAGATATGTCTCCGAATCATTTTGTTCAGACTTTTACCAACCTGATAGCTCGAATGACAGTTTTAAGTGGTGGAGTGAGATCTTCTACGGATACATCACACTGGCATCCTTTTTCATCATATACGTCATCAGTGCCAAGGGCTGTGTCAGCTGCAAAAAACAACACCAGTTAACACACTGCAGTGATTTAAAACATGTTGCTGAGTTTGCCTCACACAGAATACTGGGGTACTCACAGATAAGCTTATAAACCATGGCATGTATAAGGTCAGCCAATTGTTTCTTCAATATTATTCTTTTTCCTTCCTCTACAACCTCACCAGTATTATTGACTTGACATGAATACTTTTCTGAGCTGTTTTCCAAGGGGAAGATGGTGGTGATGGATTTGTGTTGTCCATACATGCTCTTTGCTCAGTTCCTTGGAAACTAATAGCCATCATTTAAATGACAGCTGTCTGGAGTTACAGAAACAGTCTGTGGACATGTGACTAACCCGCCTGCATATACAGAGCTCAAATCCCATGCTATTATTCCTATTCCCTGAACAAGTGAGCTAAGCAGCCAGACCCAAGAATGGTGAATATGTATTAGTTACTGGACACAGGTGGCAGTGACCTGGAGAGAGACTGTTTAAGATAATACACCAGTGCTAAGAGCAGATTTTCAGATTGGATAAGAAAATCAATTCCTCATACACTAATCAAACTTACTCTCAGGTTTAATTGCAACATTTGGAAAAGGGGCAGGGTCATAATAAACACAAATTATGGATGATTTATAAAATGAATAAGGAATAAACTCATCTTTGCATCTTTCTTCAGTAACAAACATTGAAAACAAAAGTCCTATAGTAGGGGATAAGCTAAGTGAATATTGGCAGGTTTATACACTAGAATACTGAGAAGCTGTTAAAAATGATACCGAAGACTAATGACTTGGAAAGTGTCATAATACATTGTTAAAGAAAGAAATCTGTTTATATGGGATTAAGAATGATTTTATTTTTTTTATTTGGTTATATTTTCTAAAATTTCTACAATGAGTGTGCATTATCTTAGTAGTAAAAATTAAATAATGTAATAAAATGCTTTCACGGGAGATGGGATATGTAGCCTCTGAACAACATTTTTATTTGGTCTAAGTCTCTTTAAGTGTTGTCCTACACTGTAGGACTTGAAGCGCTTTGTGTATTAGCTCTGGACTAAAGCTGTCATGACAAGAAGGGACTTTGTCATGTGCAGTCTTGATTGGATTTAAAACCCCTCAATTCATTGAGACAGTGCTTGTATTTGGAAGGCAGTTGGTTTGCCATTTAATTCCACTAATATTTGTTGGGTTTGCTCAGTTTACTTTTGGAGGAATGTGTGGGAAGAGACGAGTCTTCAGAGCTCTTCTTGAGGGTCCTTTGGCCTTCTTGCCCTCAAGCCTAGTAAGGCGAAGAGATGGAACTGCCACCTCACACTAACAATAATAATTGGGCTATTGTCTGAATTTTTCCCACAAAATTCATATGTGGAAACCTAATTGCCAGTGTGACAGCATTAAGAGGTGAGGCCTTTGTGAGGCGATTAAATTGTGAGGGCAGAGTCCTTATGAATGGGATTGGAAACCTTATAAAGGTGCTGAAGGGAAATAGATGGGCCCTTTTCCTGTTCTGTCCCTTCCCCATGTGAGAACACAGGTTGGAGAATGCAGTAACAAGGCACCATCTTGGAAAAAGAGCTCTAGCCATTACCAGACATGGAACCTGGTGGTTCCTCAATCTTGGACTTCTCCATCTCCAGAACTGTGAGAATGAAATTTCTATTCTTTATAAATTATCTAATTTTAGGTGTTTTGTTATAGCAGTACAACTAGACTACAGTAAATAGCAACCACACTCTGAAATGTATGCTAGCGCTTAGGTGAAGCTTGTGCATATATTGGTTTTCATACTTAGAGCAACTCTATAAATTGGTGGTGGTATTGTGGAGAGATTGAGGCTTGGAGAGGGTAAATACCTTGTCGGAGGCCATAAAGGTGGTAAAAGTGAAGCTAGTAAGTTGCATAGCATGACATTACAGATGTAATTTGAAAATAAAACTATCTTTATTAGAGACAGAGAAGAAGACCAGGGATACAAGAAAGATGGAGGCAGAGAACAGAGGATGACACACAAACCAAGGACACCAAGGATTGCTGGCACCACCCCCTAGAAGCTGAAAGAGTGGCACAGGATGGTTTCTGTCTCAGAAGCTCCAGAAGGAATCAACCTGGGAATGCCTTGATTTTGGACTTCTGGATTCCTAATCTGTGAGACAATGTATTTCTGTTGCTTTAAGTTACTCAATGTGGGCAACTTGTTATGACAACCCAGGAAACTAATGTATTTGAAAAACTCCTCTTTATAGTTTCTAATTCTTTACTCCAGGACATTAATTATGATGATAATGATAGTATAAGAGGTTTTTAGAGAAATCTAATTATGTGCCAAGAACTTTAATTAATTGCTACAAAGCCCCAAGAGTGTGTACTATTATTACCCCTGTTTCATAGATTGTGGAGGTGAGGCACAGAAGGCTAAGAAACTTGCCCAGGGATACATGGAGACTCCGAGATCCAACCAGAACTTAACCCGTGCAGTTGGGTCTGCGGCTGCTTGACCCTGAGTTTCACCTCAAACCCTTCCAGATTTGTCCTTCTTGTCTCTCCTGTTGGCCTCTGGCTTCCCTTCTCTGGCACTGCATTTTCCTTTACATGGCAATGTGCACCTGGTATGGTTTGGCCCCACAGAATTGACCAAGGAAGATCCAGTGTGGGGCTGCGTGGTTACCATGGCCACACACTCAGCTTACCCACCTCCCAAAGGAACTTCCAGGAGGGTGTGTGAGGGTTGGAAGAGGAAGACAGGTAGAGATGGGGCTCACCTGCAGGATAGGCTGATAGAACTGAGGCCACCAATTGCTATTGTGGAGCCCTGTGAGATGTTCTGATGTTAGCTACTTGAAGGAAATATCAAGTAACATGTGTTATCAGGATTTTCAGTAGAGAATTCCAGAGAATGTTTTGTGCTGTCCTTCTAAACAGAAGGACTGCTTTCTTTCACCTGAACTCGAGAAGAGATACCTCTAGCAGTTCCATCTCATACCACAGAAAACTGGGGAATCCTGAGGGCACACAGGAAAGGCAGATCCCACAGCACTTGATGGCCTTTCTGCTCGAAAACAGCATAACCAACCGTAACATAACCTCAAATGTCCAAGCAGTTACACAGCAGGGTCCTTCAACTGTGAAGTCAATAGAAAACTGTTTTTCAGGTGTGTACTGTCACAATAACCACAAAAGTGACGGTACATTTACTGCTGTCGTTGGACTCGGGGACAACCCAAGTGAGTACAAGAGAGTTACTTCCTAGTCTAATGCTGTCTCAGCCCAATGAACTCCAAAAAGAGACTCTGTCTTTCCATTTCAGTTGGGGGAACAAGGATGGACAGAGGATGGGAGTCAGACACCAGTTGTATTATAGTGAAATGTGGCTTATTGAGTAGCTTTATTATAATACTTTATAATTTGATTATTCAAGGCACAAATTAAACAGTCCTACTTTTTATTTTTTGGTAAGTTTGGCTAGCGCAATAGCAAATGTATCTTTGATGGCATGTATTGAGTCAAGGGCTGAATTAGGGATTTTTCTTGTTAGTCCTTATTTCAAAGTCATGAAAATGAGGAAGATACTATCTTTTTCTTCATAAATATCTTGAGACACCTATTTTCTTTCTAGTCAAGTAAGGTTAATAACACATTAAGGGTCTTTCTTATGATTCCTAAAGGCTTAAAACCTATGAGTGTTAAACACCTCGGGCTAAATTTTTAGCTGGGGCCATATCTGTGCTGGGTTGATTCTGTATGGCTGCCTGCCCTGGCATATGGGATATGTGAGTTATGGGAACATAAGCCTATGTGAGCAACAATCTGCACAAAATCTTGTGACAAAAGGCAAAATGTCAATGGAATAAGGTGCTCCCCAAAGTCCTGTCCCTGTGGGCAATGTGTCTGGATATTGTTGGTTACCCCTGTGCATGGGTCATGCTTAGCACAGGGAAGGAAAAGAAGTATAGAACACAATTCTTTATCTCTTTCCTTTGTTCTCTCTATCCTTCCTTCTATTTTTGTGATTTGGGGATTAAACACAGGACGTTGACCAGGTTAAGCAAGTGTTCTACCATTGAGCTATACTCCCAGTCCCGTTTCCTACTATTTATCACTCTTCTGGATTTATTTCTAGATATTTTTCTCTCCTGCATTTCAAAAAATCTAAATGAAAATTTGAAAACACCACTAGTTAAAATTGCTACTTTTTAGGTGAATACGGCACAAACAATGTGTACACATGCATGTAAATGTAAAAATGATTCCTGTTGAAACTGTGCCAGGAATCAGGGAAGGGGACTTGGGGAAGAGCAGTGGAGGGATGAATCCAAGTATGATACATTTGATACATTTTAAGAACCTTTGTAAATGCCACATTGTACCCCCACCCAGCACAAAAACAACAACAATAATAATAAAACCTGATCCAATTTCCATAGTGCTCCATACAGCCAAATTGAGCAACCAAGCCACTAACAAGAAGAAATGATCTTCTAGCCTATTTGCCCTAAGGGTGTTCCCTAGGAACCAGAGCCTCCTGAACGCTAACCATGTCTCTACCATTGAGGTACATCCTCAATGACTACTAACATGCACTCACTGGCAGAGTATTTGAAAAAAACAGAAAAACTAATTGTTTTGAAGAAAAAAAAAGTCTTCCACAGTCACAGAAGTTAACGACAACCAGGACTGTGATCGTGTTTCTTGCACTTAGAGTGTAAGGGGTGGAAGTCCGCAATGTATTTTATTTTAGCAATTTAACTGAAGCATGCAGAGACTGCCTCAATATGCTACAGGGAAATCCCATTACAACTTTGGGCCACTATTCATGGTGGTGATAACTGACTGGTTACACTCCGTCATGAATCATGAATTATCATTTATTTTCCCAGGGTTCCTTCCTTTGATGCTGATTGAATTTCAGTTGCTTCCCCACCCCCACCATGTTACAGCACCTTAAATATCAACCTAAATTTGGAAATTCCATTTTAGGCATGTGGTCTTCAAATGACAATTCT